AAATCTGAAATCTTAAAACCCTTATGGTCTTTAGAATCTGCGATCGTAACCTCTTAAAATTAAATATGAAAATTCCCTACAGTCTTTAACTCTACTGTTTGAAATTGGAAATCTGAACCTCAAGAGCTAACTTACAACCTTAGAAGATCGAATCTTACAATCTGAAAATATAAACATCCTAAAGTCTTCGAATCTTGACTTCTTAAAACCCGAATATCTTTGAATCTTCAGATGTTAAAATCTAAAAATATGGACTTCCTAAATTCTCAAAGTCTTAAAATCTCAGAATCTGAAAAGCTTTCAAAACTTAAATTCTTTAAATCTCGAACTATTGCAATCTGAAAATCTTAACTTCATAAACAAGTAAAACATAATAAAATTCCTTCAATCCGGGCTATATTTTAAATTCCTTAAACTCTTAACCTTGAAACTTTGAAGCCTTGAAATCTTGAGATCTTAAAATCTTAAATTCCGAAAGTCGCCAAATCTGAAAATCTCCGAAAAATAATATCTTAAAGCCTTCGAAATCTGATAATAGATGGAAAATGGCTGGGCAATGGCCTGGCTGTTATAACCTTCAAAAACTTTAAATCTTTGAATCTTAAAACCTTAATTCTTAAACCATTGAAACCTCAAATTCCGACAGTCTTCAAATCTGAGACCCTTAGAATCTCAAAGTTTTAAGAATCTGAAAATCTTAACATCTACTAATCGGACTTACAGGAAAGGGAAGTGACAGAACGATCAGGGCAAGGTGCGGCTGTGTCGCGAAGCGCTTAAATCCGGCCACCGGGGGCCCCTGACCCCGTGGTCCGTGATACGGCCGAAGGCCTAGGCCCGCAGGGCCTACCTTCAGGTATAAGGCTGTCCGCCCCATGCCGCCGACCACCGCCGACCATGCGCTATACTTTTGCCCTGCGCCAAGCTGCGCCCACCCTTATAAGGGGCGAAGGATTTCCGGATTTGTTCAGGCGATTTTTGGCGGCTTTTTGAGCATCTTTCCGCGGAGTCAAAAAACGAGTGTTTTTTGGGGGGTGCCCATAGTGGACAACATCCCCGGCATCACCTGCACCATCCGCATCCTTGGCGGACATTGATGCGGATGATGCCGGTGATGCGGGGGATGCTGGGGATGTTGTCCGCGAAGTCGGGCCAACTTTGCCGAAAACGTGCAACCTGAAAATCTTAAAATCTTAAAGTGGATGGAAAATGGATGGAATTGAAATCTCAAAATCCTAAAGTCTTAGATTCTTAAAATCTTAAACTAAAATCTAACAATCAATCTTAGAATCTGGAGATCTGAAAATCTTCGAAGTTAGAATCTTAAAATCTGAAAATATAAAAACATCCTAAAGTCTCGGGGGATGCTGGGGATGTTGTCCCCTAAGTCGGGCCAACTTTGCCGAAAACGTGCAACCTGAAAATCTTAAAATCTTAAAGTGGATGGAAAATGGATGGAAAATGGCCTGGATTGAAATCTCAAAATCCTAAAGCTTAAAATCTTAAAATATAAAAACATCCTAAAGTCTCGGGGGATGCTGGGGATGTTGTCCCCTAAGTCGGGCCAACTTTGCCGAAAACGTGCAACCTGAAAATCTTAAAATCTTAAAGTGGATGGAAAATGGATGGAAAATGGCCTGGATTGAAATCTCAAAATCCTAAAGCTTAAAATCTGAAAATATAAAAACATCCTAAAATCTCGGGGGATGCTGGGGATGTTGTCCCCTAAGTCGGGCCAACTTTGCCGAAAACGTGCAACCTGCAAATCTTAAAATCTTAAAGTGGATGGAAAATGGATGGAAAATGGCCTGGATTGAAATCTCAAAATCCTAAAGTCTTAGATTCTTAAAATCTTAAACTAAAATCTAACAATCAATCTTAGAATCTCGAGATCTTAAAATCTTCGAACTTAGAATCTTAAAATCAAAAAATAAAAACTTCCTAAAGTCACGGGGATGCTGGGGATGTATGCCCCTAAGTCGGGCCAACTTTGCCGAAAACGTGCAACCTGAAAATCTTAAAATCTTAAAGTGGATGGAAAATGGATGGAAAATTGCCTGGATTGAAATCTCAAAATCCTAAAGTCTTAGATTCTTAAAATCTTAAATTAAAATCTAACAATCAATCTTAGAATCTCGAGATCATAAAATCTTCGAACTTAGAATCTTAAAATCTGAAAATATAAAAACATCCTAAAGTCTTCGAATCTTGAAATCGTAAAACCCTTATGTCTTAGAATCTTGCGATCTTAAACTCTTAAAATATGAAATTCCTACAGTCTTAAACTCTTACTCTTGAAATTTGGAAATCTTGAAACCTCAAGATCTTAAACTTACAACCTTAGAAGATCGAATCTTACAATCTGAAAATATAAACATCCTAAAGTCTTCGAATCTTGACTTGATCTTAAAATCTTGAATTCCGAAAGTCGCCAAATCTGAAAATCTCCGAAAAATAAAATCTTAAAGCCTTCGAAATCTGATAATAGATGGAAAATGGCTGGGCAATGGCCTGGCTGTTATAACCTTCAAAAACTTTAAATCTTTGACTCTTAAAACCTTAATTCTTAAACCATTGAAACCTTAAATTCCGACAGTCTTCAAATCTGAGACCCTTAGAATCAGCGTGTAAATCCGGCCACCGGACGTGATCGGGCCGCAGGCCAAAGCCCGCAGGGCTTACCTTCAGGTATAAGGCCGTGCGCCCCATGCCGCCGACAATGAGCGGACCATGAGCAACATGAGCAGAATTTTTGCGCTGGGCCCGCCCTTATAAGGGGCGAAGGATTCGCGGATTGGTTTAAGCGATTTTTGTAGCATCTCCCCGCAGCGCCAAGTATTTTTAGGGGGCCTAATACTGGACAACACCCCCAGCAATGCCAGCATCATCCCGGATGATGCGGGTGATGTTATGCATGCTGGCGATGCGGGTGATGCTGGGGATGTTGTCCCCTAAGTCGGGCTAATTTTGCCGAAAACGTGCAACCTGAAAATCTTAAAATCTTAAAGTGGATGGAAAATGGATGGAAAATGGCCTGGATTGAAATCTCAAAATCCTAAAGTCTTAGATTCTGAAAATGTTAAATTAAGATCTAACAATCAATCTCAAGATCTTAAAATGTTAGAACTTAGAATCTTAAAATCTGAAAATATAAAAACATCCTAAAGTCTTCGAATCTTGACTTCTTAAAACCCTCATGTCTTTGAATCTTCAGATGTTAAAATCTTAAAATATGAAATTCCTAAATTCTCAAAATCTTAAAATCTCAGAATCTTAAAAGCTTCAAAAACTTAAATTCTTTAAATCTCGAACTATTGCAATCTGAAAATCTTAAATTCATAAACAAGTAAAATATAATAAAATTCCTTCAATCCGGGCTATATTTTAAATTCCTTAAACTCTTAATCTTGAAATTTTGAAATCTTGAAACCTTAAGATCTTAAAATTACAACCTTAGAAGTTAGAATCTTACAACCTGAAAATATAAACATCCTAAAGTCTTCGAATCTTGACTTCTTAAAACCCTCATGTCTTTGAATCTTCAGATGTTAAAATCTGAAAATATGAAATTCCTAAATTCTCAAAAATCTTAAAATCTCAGAATCTTAAAAGCTTCAAAAACTTAAATTCTTTAAATCTCGAACTATTGCAATCTGAAAATCTTAAATTCATAAACAAGTAAAATATAATAAAATTCCTTCAATCCGGGCTATATTTTAAATTCCTTAAACTCTTAATCTTGAAATTTTGAAGTCTTGACATCTTAAGATCTTAAAATCTTAAATTCCGAAAGTCGCCAAATCTGAAAATCTCACAAAAAATAGAATCTTAAAGCCTTCGAAATCTGATAATGGATGGAAAATGGCTGGGCAATGGCCTGGCTGTTATAACCTTCAAAAACCTTAAGTCTTTGAATCTTAAAACCTTAATTCTTAAACCATTGAAACCTTAAATTCCGAAAGTCTTCAAATCTGAGACCCTTAGAATCTCAAAGTTTTTAGAATTTTAAAATCTTAACATCTACTAATCGGACTTACAGGAAAGGGAAGTGACAGAATGGGCAGGGCAAGGTGCCCGGTGGCCGGCTGTGTCGCGTCAGCGTGCAAGCCGGCCACCGGACGTGATCGGGCTGCAGGCCAAGCCCGCAGGGCTTACCTTCAGGTATAAGGCCGTCCGCCCCATGCCTCCGACCACATGCGCATACGTTTTGTGCTGGGCCCACTCTTATAAGGGGCGAAGGATTTGCGGATTCGTTTAAGCGATTTTTGAGGAATTTTGTAGCATCTCCCCGCAGAGTCACAAAACGAGCGCTTCTTGGGTGGTGCCTAATACTGGACAACACCCCCAGCATTGCCAGCATCATTACGGATGATGCGGATGATGCTATGCATGCTGGCGATGCGAAACAAGGGGCTGAAGAGGAAATGCAAGGAAACAGGAGTGACTGGAAGTGAACAAAATGAAAGTCAAAGGAATTGCACGAAAATGAGGAGGGCACCCGAGAGAAACCGATGCAGGAAAATGCAAGGGCAGAACGTGAAGGGGACCGGACAGCGGAAACGAAAAGGGAAAGGAATTGCGAATAAAGGAGTCTTCAAGGAAATGAAGGGAGCTGAAACGGCAGTGAAGTGGAAGGACAGGACTTGGAGGGACAGGAAATCAAAGAACGGGAAGGGGTGCCCGGTGGCCGGCTGTGTCGCGTCAGCGTGTAAATAAGCTGAAGACCCCAGGTGGCACTCTCTGCCCAGTTCACAAAACTCTGAGTCCGCGGGCCAAGTTCATTGCCACCAAACGCCATACCAAGAACACGGCATCCATTTAGAACCCACTGTCCTCGCCCCAGCTGCGAATCTGAACCAAACCAAATCAGAATATGGCAGGCTGGTCTCCGTGTTTGTGTTTGCGACTTCTGGAGGAAGGGCTGCGCTCTTGGCATTGATTCCATAGGGGGGGGTAGGGTCAGTTAGCGTCAAAAACGGCGAAACCCCGAGATGCCCGGCCACGGCCCAGCGACATTCTCCCGAAGCTCCACGTTCAGTCGCTTTGCCGCGCGCTGAATGTCTGCTGTCGTCAGCACCTCAGAGCAAACGCGAACACGACTGCTGTCGTCGCCTTTTGCAACAACTGCGCAGTTCGCGCACTTGTTTCTCCTCCAGCTTCCCTGCATCTGGACCCGGCAAGTCAACAGGTCCTGTGCCCGTCTCTGTGTAGCCCTAACTCTGCGAGCTCAAGCTGGCTGGACTTAAGCGCTCAGTGCTTTCTTGATCGCCTGCCATGTCCGCAGCGCCCTCCGGGGCCCTCCGGCCCTCCGCGGCCCTCCGGGGCCCTCCGGGGCCCAGCCCGTGCCGTGCCTGCTCTGCGTCGCCGCAGCCTCTTTCCTAAAGGTCAGCCCGAAAAGCCCGGCCAAGAGGTCCGAAGAGGTCCGAAGACTTCTCCCCGAAGACACGAGTCAACACGAGTCACTTCAGTCCTCGGCCACCTGCAGCGCGGTCTGGTTCTCGAACTTGAAGCTGAAGGCCACCACGTGCGCCTCCACAAAGGCCGGGTGCTCCAAGATCGCAGTGCACACCGAGCCTCGCGAATAAGTACTGAATATGGGTGAAATGCATGGCATTTATAACATTAATATTTTCCCACAAATGAAGTCTACCGTTTGTGTGCCTTGTTTCCTTGGTGCGTTTTGTTTTGCGCTTCGCGAATGAGAATCCATGCAACTCGCATCTGGGAGCCACACCCAGGTTCGAGGCAGCCGCCCAATGCAACGCTGTCGCGCCCCACTTGTCCTGTTCAGCCCATGACTCTCAACGTGGCAACTCTGAAAATCTGGCTGTATGTTGCTGCTGTTCCTTCTGCTATTCTTCTGTTTCTGGTGTTGGACGAGATCTCCGTGTCGGCGCTGAAACGACGGTCCTTGGAGTTCACCTGGGTGAACTCCGGGTGATCCAGGACGGCCTTGCACACATTCACCATTCCGTTGGAGGCAGCCAGCGAGAGGATCGTGTAGCCGAACTGGTCAACGCAGAAATTTAGGAGTTGGATCTTGAAAGTCTTGCTTTTGAACTTTTCAAAAAAAAATCGCCTGGTCCACTGCATTGACTTCTGTGAAGTCATCCCGGTTCAAGATGCCGAGGCAAACATCCTGGCGCTTCGAACATTGCAAGGTTGAGCCAGTGGAGTCAAACAGATGTTCCATTGCCATGCACGCCGGTCTCTCAATTCCATATTTCAGCGGTAGGGCTTTCCCATGGGCCAGACCGCGAAACTTTCGCTGCATCCGCCCAGGCCCCAAAGCCGAAGCTGCAAAAGCCGAAGCCTTGGCTTTGAAGGGCTGACGAAGGCGGCCAAAGTTCAAGGCAGCCCCCTTTGGCCCCCTTTGGCCCCCTTTGGCCCCTTTGGCCCCTTTGGCCCGGCCCGGAACAACATGCAGGGCCCGCTTACGCGCCGCCTGTCGCGTTGCGAGCCGTTTCCCCCCGCTTCGAGATTCGCACGTGCCGTTTAACAAGAGGGGCAGACGGGGCCGTCTCTGACCTGGGGCTTCCCTGGCAGCTTCGCATTGAAGTTGAAACAAACGAATCGCAGGCTTGCCAATTCACGGCAAACAGGAGTTAAAGCGCGAGCAACTCCTCTGGCATCTTTTTCAGGATGCAAATGTGGACAGCTGTCCGATGTTCTGAATCCTGAGCGCGCGGGTTGGCTCTCGAAAAAACAAGTGTCGAGCGTGGGGGCTCCTTGTCGTCCACTCGATTGAAATCCTGCCGTCAAGACAAATCATTGAAGCAGCCAGGCTGGGATCGTTCTGAGACAAAGTTCCAGCGCGTCCTTGTGCGCCAGCAATGCTCTACATTTCCTCTCATCCCTCTGCGTGGCGGCATTGACGAAGACCCCAGGCTCCTGCTGCAAGTGGCTGCTGGCAAAGCCCTGCAAAACCAATCCGCTCCTGCACTTCCTGCGATGTGAGAACCGGCAGATCCTGGCGCTGAGGCATGCCCAACAGAACGACTCGAGCTCGAGCGTGCCCGCCTGAATACGGGCCTTGCCGCCGCCCTTGCCCTTTGGCGGGCCCTTTGGCGGGCCCTTGTACCCCTTGCCCCTTCGCGAAACAACCCCTGGTGTGGGACTCGGGTTCGCGAGGCTTTCCAGGCCAATGGACGCCAAGTCGAGGCCGGGGATCGACAAGCCTTGAAGGCTTTGCCCAAGGCTTTGTAGGTCCACGTTGCCCAGGCCCAAGCTGGCCAAGGCGGCCGCCAAAGGGTCCTGCGGCTGCGGCTGCGCATACCCCCGCTGATTCAGCGCGGCAGCCGCAGCCGCCACCGCAGCGGCAAAGCCTTGGAGCGGTCGCACCACCCGAGCTCCAGACTCCACACTCCGCACTCGCTGTGCTGAGACCCGTGCTATCGTTGGACCCGGATGGCACCGGAGCTGAGGGACCCAAGGCAGCCAAGGGAGCCACAGGAGCCAAGGGAGCTGTGGGCACCGGCGCCGCCATGGGCATATGGGCCATGGAAAATGTGGGTATGCCCACGGGTGCCGGCATAGTCATTCCAGGCCCTGTCAGTCCAGTCTGGAACTGTGGCATGGTTTGCATGCCCGGCGCGCCCCAGAGTGGAAGGCCGGGCACGGTGCCTGGCACGGTGCCTGGCGCTCGAGCATTCGCATTCGCATGACTCGCTCACCCTGCGGCCTGCGGGGTAGGGCTGGACGGGGGCTCCGGCCTGCGACAGGCCCGGATCCCAAAGCTCTCAGCTCGCGAAACTGAGAAGCTCCGAGAAGCCAAGGCTGCGGCTGGTGCTCTCGGAGCAGGACCATAGCCGGACATGTCCATGGCGCATACGAGCAAAGGGGAGCACACTTGCAGGCTTCGTCTGTTGCATTACATTGCCTTTCACAGGTGCATGAAGCCATGGCGGGAAAACACGAATCAACTTCGTGGAGTCGCGAATATGAGGTGATAGGAGATGGATTGTCATTCGAGATTGACGTGGCAAGAGGGTCGTGAACTGGGACGACTAGTTTCTTTTGGTTGCCCTTGAGCTTCTTGGGAACGCTGCGCCTTCCCCAAGTGTAGCAAACAGCACATATTTTGTGGGAAACATTGGTTCTTTCGGGCCGCGGGCATCATCCCTGGGCCGCTCCTGCCCAGACTAGTGGTCACATACCGATCGGTCACCGTTGCCCACCTGGGGCTGCGAGAAGCTCCTGACCCAGGGGTCAAAGTGGACACTTGTTTCAACATGTGTGTATGACCCATATATACATCTATAAATGGAAGGCCCACATGTTAGTCAAAAAAGGAACATTTGCATTCAGTGGCATTTTGCACATGAGTTGGCATACGTGGTCACGGTTGTGCATGGATATGGTCTTGTGAGCGCAATTCAGACATTCCTCCATGAAACCAGAGTTTGAGAACATATGCTAACGGGCGGCTGCACTTATATACGAACTGCTAAACATACCCGAGCAAAGTACGACACGAGTAAGGACCATGTTTGCCTCCAAGATACGCTAGCGCGCGGCATGGATACACACAAGCCATTGACTGTTTTGCAT